CACACCAGGTATTAGAAATGAATGAGAGGAATTATCATCTTTGTTCTCTGCGGCTCCCTGGCGTTTCCCGTTGCTAATTCCTAATCTTAATGACTACCAGATAAGCACCAGTGTTAATTAAAGAGGGCTGCATAATTATATCTCACAGGGACCCTGCGCCAGTGCCCCCTCACCACCACCATCACCATCACCCCCCCTCCTCCTCCTCCTCCTCCTCCTCCTCCAGCTGACACTCCAGCCTGCTTTCTCTTCCTCCCTCACAGCATTAGGCATTCAGCGCTCTCTCTCTCACTCCTCTCATTATCTCATCTCTGACCCACTGCGTTCACCTAGTTTCTGAAAAAGGAAAGGGGATCCACGCTCCAATGACATGGAAGTAATAAAAACCACCATCATTTTTTTGGGGGGGGCTGGTCCCACTTGCCCAGAGCTGAAGTTACTGATGCTTTTGGATCCCCCGCAGATAAAAGTCAATTTTCTCACTCGCCGGGTAAAAATGAGCAGATCTAGAAATGGATGCAGCTCATGAAATACGTCTTAGTTTAAAAAAAAAAAAAAAAAGCACATATGACTTCGCAACCACTTATCATTGCTAAAAACGGAATCGAAATGAAGACTGCTAGAGGGGAAGGGGTGCAGCCTTTGGTGTTATGAAGTTACCAAAACATTAAGATCCATCACCACCATCTTGCCTGCCCGATTGCTCGCTTCTCCGACAGAGCGTCAGCAATCTGTCTGCTCATCTGCGAGTCCACCCCAAGGAGGGGGAGGACAGGCGGAAAATAATAACAGAATGGACAACAAAAGGCCTTTGCCAGAATCACGCGGTTATGAGCCGGGCTTATTAAAAACCCACAGTGGAAAATAAATATGCAAACTCTGAAGCCCACCCTCTCTCGCAGTAAACACAATAAAATATGGTGTGAAAGACAGCAAGGGAAGAAGGAGGAAGGAAGGAGGAGGAGGAGGGAGAACAGACACCCCTCTGATAATTTAATAGACTGACTATAGCAGGCTACGCAATTTCATTATGTTGTGTCATCTTTCCTGCAGAGGTCGGGAGTGGCTCCTTGGGGGAAGGTCACAGCAAATAACGCACATAATCAGATGCAATCAAAGTCATCCGGGATCCCAGATTTCCACAGCGCCCCGGCAGGTTCAGAAGCGTGAGCGTGAGCGGGGCTGCATGTTTCCTGAGGTCACTTGACATTTGGAGATTTAGCAGGACTGGGAAGAGAGAGAGTTAAAGACGGTGACTCCTTGTTGAGAGGCATTTCTCAGAAGTTGAAGACATTTGAAAAGTGTTTTTGCTTTTGCCTACATGTCCAATGTGTCCTTGGGCAAGACACTTAACCCCAAGTTGCTCCTGCTGCTTCATCAGTATGAATGGGATTAGTTACTTCTGATGGTCTCTTTACACAGCAGCCTCGACCATCAGTGTGTGAATGTGTAGGTGTGACCTGCGGTGTAAAAACACTTTGAGTAGTCAGAAGACGAGAAAAGTGCTTTATAAGCTCAAGTCAATTTACCATTTACCTAACCAAACCTCAACAACAGAGATTTGAAATAAGAAAAAAATAACAAGTTTAATGTCTGTGAAGATCCTTTCAGTGATTTTAAAGTCTATAATAAAATCAAAAAGCAAAAAACAAAACAAAAAATGAGTTGTTTCAAAGGCTTCAACAAACAGCAGGACATCTTAATCAAAACAGACCGGCCTATGTTTAACGGCCTCTCCCTCCACCTGTAGACGGTTAATCATGGTTTAGGTGTTCCTAGTTTCAGAATCAGTGTTAGTAAGGTTATTACCGAGCATGCACACATTGAATCAGCTCATTCTTGTGCTGAAACGCCGCTCTAACCCAGATAAAAGAAAACTCGAAGGACATTCAGTGCGCTGACTTTTCTGCCTCTTTATTCAGTCTCGTTGCGCTCGTTCACCTGAAATGCTATTCACCGTCGACAATGCTTCTTTTCTTTTTTTTATGCTGTAAATGTTAGAACTCCAGATTGTAACGGGTTGAGTGGCAACGAGCTCGTGGAGAAAAAGCCTCCGTTTAGCTGTGCTCATTAGTCAGAGCACAGAGGGCTGTCTCGTACGGTCAGGGGGAGCGCACGGCAAACGTATATTTAGTCATTATGTGCCGCACGCCTTTGGTTCCCCAGGTGAAATCTTAAACAGGAGACCATGTTTTCTCACCAGAAGGGCTCACTGCTGACTAAACTCCTTCTCATCAGCTTTGTTTTGCTCAGAAGCACACACACACACACACACACACACATACACACACACACACACACACACAGAGAGAGAAAAGGAGTAAATCGCAGACATATGAGTCAACGTTTGATTAATGTGTGATTAAGGATGGTTCATTATTTTAGCCCCAGGTCTGACAGCTCAACAAATTTAAGGCGTGTTAATGAGTTATTCTTAAACCACAGGAGACTAAAAAAAAAAAAAAGCAGCTCGTTGAAATGTTTGCTGAAGTAAAAAAATGGTGGCACTTTGGCCTCCCTAACTGTGAACAACATGACACCATTCTGCTTTTTCTGTGTGTGTATGTGTGTGTGAGTGCAGACTGAAGCCTCCTCTGCACCACGAGAGGGGATGATGCTCGCTCCTCAGGTGGGAGTGAGTGGAGGGGGGGGGGATGCATGCTTGGCTCTGCGGCCCTGTCTACGGAGAGAAAATACCTGCTTCTCAGCTCAACAGCAATTTCCAGACAAAAGCATTCGAGTGCTGCGTCTTCGCCCCTGACCGAATATCAATGCGAAACAATGAGGTGGAAGAAGATGAATGAGGGGCGGGAGAGGGTGGAAAAGGAAATCTGCCTCATCCATTTAAGAGCTCAATCGATAGGTGCATGGATTTTTTGATAATCTATTAACTGTTTCGGGGTTTTAAGGGCGAGAGTGACAAACGGGATCTGTTGCCAGCTACTCAACTCTCAGAATTATTTTTTTTCACTGTTTCACACGAGAGAAGATTGAATTATTTGGGTTTTTTTTTAATCGTTGCGTTACGCTGAACTCTGTAAAAACTGTGGTCAGCGTCTTTGACATATCAAGCCGATAGACAATGACGATGAATGGACAAAATCTTTGACAGATAAATCGATAAACAACCGTCGTTTCCATCCTTATCAATCCTCCACGTTACCTCCATGTAATGTCCTTGGGGCTGCACATGTCGATTATTACTCTGCTGATATTTTCTATTCATCGTAAAGTATCAATAACCATCGCTCTTTAGGACTATAAATGTGTCAAATAATGCTGATCCACAGGAGTCAAAGTCAGTTTGAGATTGAAGTCTTTTGTTCGACCAATACTTCAACAAATCCAATTTTCATTTTTGATTAACCCACTACTGTACAATTTACGTTTTCTGTAAAAAAGTCCATCACCATTAGTTTGAAATTATATTTTCTGAGGGGATTTTGGTTAGTCTGCTATTCAATCAACCGTCTGTGCAGCGCCGATGGCCAAGTGGTTACTGCGGCGCGGGTTCAAATCCAACCTGTGGCTCCTTTCCCGCATGTCATTCCCATCCCATCCTATCTTTACAATCAAGGCATACAAAGCCAAAAAATGTATCTTTCAAAATAAACTCACTTTAGTAGCTTATCACAAATAAATGTTTCGTATTATAGAATGAAAATGGATTAAATGTCGATCTAATAGACTTTAAGTTTAATTTCATTTTAAACATTCCTGTGTATTGAGTGGTGTTGGTGGATAGGGTGCACATGACCGAGGTAAAAGATTGGATTTTAGAGAAAAAAAACCCTGCATCCATGATATTGAATTTGCAATCACACCACATCACAGGGAACCTATGAGAGCAATTTCAAATCCACACTTCTTCTGGAACAATCTTTTCTGCTGCCATTACGGAGGACTGGCTCGTCCACAGAACACGTAGGCAACCAAATTCATCTTCTACTAAGTTTTCTCACGAGTGCTGAAAGAAAACAATCACGCTGCAACAATTAGCACACAACAACAACATTTGTTTTTGTGTTTTGTTTTGGGGTCGATATCGCGTGGCTCGCTTTGGCTCCAAGATACGGAATAACATTTCAAATCCCTTCTGCTTTATAGTTTCAGCCAACTCATTCAGGGCTCTGGCTGAGAGGGCCGGCCCACACTGACAGCTTACACCTTCTGGAGTGAGACAGTAATAGCATTAGCAACAAGGGCAGCGCACAATATAAACACAAATCCTGCTCCTGCAACAATCACGACTCACAAACCGCACTCCACACTCCTCCTCACAGTCAGAAACAACCGTTTACATTAACATTAGGGGCCTCTAATGGATGTCTGAGAACATAATAGTGTCAGAGATGGGAGAAAGTGGAGCCCTTTTTGATCTCTTTCCAACCATAAACACCTATTCTGACTTTAGTTGCTGTGGGGGCTTTGGATAACAGAGACAGTTTATGTTTCACAGGTGGGCTTTGAGGTCTGAGCCGAGGGTCATAAATATTCAACAAACTGTCAGGTCCTTTTTTGTTTGGGAGTGAGCCAGATAAGCAGCATAATTACACAGTCTATGTTCATATTACTCATCCAAATATGCAAATGATCATAAAGTTTGCACTGTAAAAAAGTATTCTCTGATCAAATACTGGGGTTTTAAATCATATTGTCCTGAAGAGAAAATCATCAAACTTGAATCTGATTCTCAATGTGTGTGTGTTTGTTTTGGAATAATTTGAGTTTTACTCATTCTTTCCAATGGAGTCATGATTCTGTTTCTAGACATTTTCTCGGAACAGGTGGACTTCCATGTGAATCCAGTGGATCTTTAAGGGGACACCTGACTATGATGTGGCTTTTATACTGGCTTTAACAGTGGATCGGGGGTCAGGAAAACACAGCCAAGCTCCCAGAAATGCACCACCAAGGTGACATAAGAGTGGCATAACAATTTCAGTGTAAATAATCATCATGACTCTTTAAGGTTTTTCTCTCTTTTGGACGTTTCTTACCACTTGAATTCTTGCCGCAGATGAGGTGTTGGTAGGGCTGCAGCAGCCCCCAGATCTCCGAGTCGTTGCTGATGGCTTGCTCCAGTGACTCCGGCGTAAACTTGGGGATCCCGTTGTCCCTCTCCACCAGCGCGCTGCGCAGGACGCGGCTGAACACCTCTCTGAACAGACTCTCCATGCACGCGGTCAGGTATATGGCCGCGTGTTCGTGGATCCTCAGGGCCACCCGACTATCCACCATCCACCTGAAGAACTTCCCCACGGAGAACACCAGCCCGCAGCGCTCCGACTTGCCTCGGCTGAACTTGTCCCCGGTGCTCATGTTGTAGAGGGACAGGGCGCTCAGAGCCGCCGTGATGCAGTTGACGGAGATGGTCCATGATAGCACCACCTTGATGGCGCTCTGGATCTCGTGTTTGGTGCACTTGGCGTAGCGCAGAGAGAGCCGCTGCGCCTCCCGGGCTACCCTCACCAGAGCGCGGCTGATGAGAGCGGACAGCCGCGCCAAGACCTCCGGTGGCGGGTCGCCCACCATGAGCTCCTCGTCTTTCCTCAGTGCGCCCTCCACCTCGCCGAGGCTCCATGGCACGTCCTCCAGCTCGGGCAGCTTGGCGCACTGACCCGAGCACTCCAGTATCTCCGTGTCCTCCGCCAGGACGGTGTTCACTGTGTCCAAACTGTTTTGTCTGCTGTGCATGGATTCCGTCAGATGCCAGCAGTTGCCCCCAGCCGATACGGACTGATGCGTGTCAGAGCAGCACAGCGACACGCTGGACGACCTGACCGAGTCCGCGGCTCCACCATAACCAGAATCAAGCGTTAAATCCTCCAGCGTCCTTACGACTGTCTTACCCTTGCCTGCCATAACTGCACCGCATACTGTTGGGTATGCTTGGTTTCCCAGTTAAATGCTACAAATTCGTTTTCCTTGCGTTTTTCCTCAGCCGCTGTCCGATGGCTTAATTGTAATTCCCAGCGTTAAGAATGAAGCAAAAAGAAGTGAGCCTTTAGTTTCCTCCTCCTTGAAGTGTCTGGATGTCTTCAGTCTCCTCTTCTCCACAACTTCAGACGCGTAACCTGAGAGCGCACAAACCCTCCGCGCTCACTGCAACAAGCGTAGAAGTATGGAAAGCCAAAAGAGCCATAATTCACCTCTACTGCTTGGAGTATTAAAAACTGCTATTGGCTCTTGTATCCACTGTTATCAGCATATTATTAGGTATAATCCTAAATTCTGAATTAAGTGATGTACTTTACTTACTTGATCTTTTTTAACATAGTCAATTCAATGATTTGATTGATCTGTGATAAAATACCAAATAAATTGCCTTTGATGATCCCTGTTCATTTCTCATTTAAAAAGATTTACAAAATAAACATGTTTTGTGTCCTTTAAGAAGAGTTTAGTAAGGGACTAGATTAAGGTTCACTTTTTTTAAATCTAAATGTTAATTTGTTTATAGTCTCGCTCAGAACCCCCTGTACTTTGGTGTGATTGGCTAGTACTACTATGTTGTGACGGGCTAGGCCAAATGTCAATTTTGACTCAATAATTTGAGCCTATTAAACCTTAACATGTATTTTGCTACCATAACCAAACTAGCACATCTCTAAAAAATTTTTTAAAAAAAGCAGCATTTTACCATACTGCATAAAAACATGTATTCTTTAAAATGAAGAAATCTGTTTTATAGTACTTCAAAGAGTGTAAAGCATGAAAAGCATTACTTTACTGGATTGTTTGAGAACACTGTTAAAAGGACGTTTTTGAGGGTTAGACAGCATAGAAATATATTTCAGTGTAAACACATTAAATTAGATGTCAATATTGGCACTTTCAGCTTTCCATACAATGTGCCGGGAGGTGGAGTCTGGAGCCCCGCGGCCTGACACAAACCAATCAGCATTTCCATCTGCTGTGACTGACACAGACAACCTGCCAGCTACCTTTTTCCAGAAGCTACCTGGAGCTGGTGTAGCATAACTGCAGAATCAGAGACACACACCACACACACACACACACGCGCACACACACACACACACACACACACACACTGCTGTGCCAACCAATCTGTTATTTGCAGTCTTGTAGCTGCAGTGAAGTGATCTCTGCAGTGCCAGGATGAGAGGTGGATTCCCGCAGAGGAAACACATGGTAGAAATGTCAATGTGCTCTTGGTTGTGTGGGAAAAAAAGTGGACCACTGACCTAAACAACCAGGTTTTCAATTCAATGTGTATACTTGTAGTTCTTTTGGGGGAAATTAGGCTTCAGCACTCTGCAAAAAACATGTGTTATTTGCAATTTATTTACAAGATAAAAGGAAAAACCTCAATTAAAAAATGTGCCTTTTCTGTGATCTTTCCCACACAATTGATCATGTAATTGTTGACAACAATCTCATTGCATTCTGAGTTGGGATATAATAAAACAAATTAATAGACAACTGTGTAAAACAATTCTGAATGGCAGGAAAACTAACACAACCCAGGGTCCTGTGTTGAAAAGCTGTTATTTTCTGGCCTGCTGTCCAACACTATGATCCTAAATAATAGCGAGTTTGCAGCAAAGGTAGCTCAACTGAGGAACACCATAAGCATTCCTTTCAGATCCTTATAAAATGTTAACTGTTCAATCCACAGAGCCCAAGCTATTTACGATCAGAGATACATCCACCCTCCTCTGATAAGACTTCAAAGTTTAGCATCCCTCTAACACGATGTTGTATGATCTCTTGTTTTTTTTCCTGCACAATAAAGCATTTTTTTTGTCAGGTTATGAAAACAAAGAGTGAGTGAGCTGAATTCTGGGGGACGTGCTGAGAGGAACAGTTGGTGAAATCATGATTCATCCATTCTGTTCGGGCTCCTCCTTGTACGTCGGAGCTGGACCAACCATCTGTCCACCCGCCTGCCATGCCAGAGGCCCTTTCATATTTTCTTAGCATGACACTGCATTCAGCACGCCCAATGCTGAAAACTTACTACACGGGGAATGTGTTGAGAAATGATGCGACACCCACTGCTGTTGAGTTACTGACAGCAAAGGAGTTTAAAACAAATAATGGCAGGATCTCTGTGTCTTTGTTTGGTTGACAAAAGCTAACAATAGCATTACCGCCCAGTGTGACGTACGTTATGCAGAGACATGAGAACACAGTGGGCCTTTGTATGCAATTCACCAGATTTACACGACGGCCTGTCCTCTGGTGTTAGCGTCTGTGTTATGGGATGTAAGTCATATAAATGTAGGGTAACTACATATGTTATCCAATTACCTCTTCTTCATTTGTGAGCAACTGAAAAGATAATGAAAATCTGGAAACACATCGGCATTATTTCAAAGCAAAACAAAAGATTTAATAACCCACTGACTCATGTTAGCATTCAGACACTTTGTAGTGTACACAAACTTTGGGTTAGCTGGAGCTTAATGTCTCTCCTATCAACACTATCAAGCATAATAGTACCTTTCAGCCACTTTCACTTCCACTTTGTTGGACAATTAGCAAATTCGTTATCAAATAAGCTGTTTTAACTTGATACATGGCTGTATTTCACCACACATTTCCAGTTTACATGTCTGTTAGATACTAATCAATCCAGAAGAATGTTTAAGAATGTGTCAAATATCTTTTTTTTGTTTTTGCATATGGAGGACAAGTTAAGGAAGCTATTTGTTAACTCGATTTTGTCTGCCATCATTAAAGAGATTCTAAAGATTTTGATTAAATCATTATAAAGCATTTCTATGACTTGTTTCTACGTCAGCAGATAAAAGCAGTTAGCACACCCCATCCTCCACTCTGTGACAGTAACCGAGTTTATCTCCAGCAGTCTGCATTGCAGCACATCTTGCTGACTAACTAAGGTGAGAATGGGTGGAGGTGGGCAGCTGTCAGCTGCTTCTCTACATGCTCTGTGGTCCTCCTAAGCTTGTCCTCACGTATTAAGCGTTGGTTGCCTGGTAACAGCAAAAAATGATCATGATTTTCCCGGCAAGATGAAAGATTGTTTGTGCTTTGCTAGCAGAGTGTGTGTCATGTAAACATGTTTTCTTAGTCATACTGTGCAGTCACGTTTTTTTATTTGGCAATCGTCTTAATCATGTGTTTTTAAATCTTTTATGATATTGTTTTGATGAATTATTTTGTAATGAATTGTCTATGGTGGGAAGCCCTTTAGTTAAAAACAAAAAAAAAGCAATAATAATGTGTTTATTCCAATAACATACGATTCTTTTGAATTACTGTAAGTGTAAAAGACAAAATCATAAAATATAACAACAGCTCAGTGTCATGTCTGGATGTATTTTATGTCATTATCCTAACAGAAGTGGTGTTTTAGACATGGTGTTATACTGCCCCTTAGTGGCCAAGAGAAGGTACTACTTTCTACAGAGCAAGGCTGCAGCTGATCTCTTGCATAATAACAAACCATTTTATATAAGAGAATAGTGTGACGCATGTTTTATTTAGACATTAAATAACATCCAGTAAGGGGAAACTTAGGCTGCATAGTGTCGTATTACTTATTCTATCAGCGAATCTTCTCATTGTGATGATAATATAATAAAGAGTTACATGCATGCAACTTTAATCAGAATTAATGGATAAATCAGGCAAATTGAAATGACGGTTGTGTAATTATTATACGATATAACTGCCTCTTGTACTGTGTATTTGTACAACATGTTAAAACTAACGTTATTAAAAGTGATTGCAGTAAGACAAAGAATTGCATGAGTAAGGGATTATAGGAAATACACGGCCATTTAATAAAAAAGGCAAATATACATACTGGTATAACATTTTGTTGTAAAGTAGTCCAAAAGGTTTAGATGAATATTGCATAAGCTGCAATAGATTCGTGGATTTAGCAGAAGACAGATGATTACAGTGTGTAAACAAATTGCAGTGACTCTGAAAAAGAGAATTTGTATAAAAGACAACCTTAAGCATTGACATAACTGCGTAAAACACTCAAAAACAAGCTGTAGACACTAAAATTAAGAGCAAATCCGTGCAGTAATTGTCACTTCCTCAGAGTCTAACCCTAAATACACAAAGTAATTCATCTGTTGTGTCAAAGTAGGTCATTCTGTGTATAATATCTGAGTTTTAGTACACTCCCAACTACACATCTGCTATCAAATCGTTTCTAATATCAAGTGCGTCAGCCACTGTACTACAACAGTACTACGATTACACCCACACAAGCACGCAGGGTGGAGCGTGAGGTGAAGTCCAACGCTCATGCCTGACTTCATGTGCTCATCCGGGTTCTTTCACCGTAAACAAGCCACTCTGGTGTTGTAGGCAGGATGAATACTTTTGTTTTTGATGGTATTTGTAGGTCTTACGTTTATGAGCACACAATAAATAACTGTTGATAATTAATAATATTTTATAGTTGTGGAAAAAACCCTCAAATATACACAAACAGCGTTCAAACAAGATATATTTTGACATAACTTCATGATTAATCACACAAATATGCTATGGTTGTTCATGTCTACCATGAGCGGTCACAATTCAGCTGCTTAACCTCGAGTATGATAACAGAACACGGTTTGTTCCACTGATGTAAATATGTTTGATTTTTAACTTCTTTTTTTTTTTTTTTATATAATTATATTCGTTTCCTGTTTTCTTGAGCTGCTGTAATGCAACAACAAAAAAAATCCCCAATGGGGCATCAATTAAGTTTATCTTTATGTTTATCTTCAGCTGTGTCGTATCTTTTAGGTCAAGAAAAAGCACGCTGCAGAAACGTGACTACGACGTGACACGCAGTCAGCCCCTCTGCAGCCAATCAGAGCGCTGCAGATACATAATATCGTACAGGGGGGCGGAGTCACGGCTGAAGGTGCGGCAAGGAGGGTGAGCAGCTATTCGTGGACATTGAGGGAGAACATTTTCTGATAGAGCCACAACTCAAAACAATCGCTCGGGACGGAAGGGAGACTGTACACACGGAATAGAAACGGATTTATGAAGAGCTAAGTGACTATTCTGGTTACATTCAGTCGAAGAATTTGACAGTATCTTAGTCAGAATTTGTATTTACATAACCAGCTTTCATCCGGGTATTTGCCACCGTGTCTTAACGGTTCGCAGCGCCAACGACTTAAACATTACAGGCGAGTTAAGTTACTGTTATTAACTAAAACGTAAATAATGTTTGTCGAATGCGTTGAGTAGTATATGGACGTTTATTTACGCGTTTTTCAGTATTCAGAAAAACAAGTTATACAACCAGCCACCCTGGTGTCCGTCGGCAGACCGCGTCCTAAAGCCCGCCGGGTTTGTGGCCGTCACATTGCCGGGGAACGTTCGCTGTCTACGGTCCAAATGGTTCAGCAGCCATCAGTTTCTAAATACTACGACATAATGGAAAAGGTTTTATTAGAGCAAGGCTAATTATAGTGGACTGCAGTGCTGAACATTACCGGTTGTATGCTATAAAAGGCATACAGGCTATTTTCTTCTGCATACATTTGGATTCCCTGTGGACTCAATTCTTCATTTTTTTTTTTTTTTCGGGACATACTTTTTGAATCACTGCCAGAGAATCGGAATAACAAGAGAAGACTGAGCACATAAAAGACTTATAATCATTCAAAAAGGACAAAATAAGGACTCGTCAAGTTGAGTAATGGTCATTAATACGATCCACTGGTTCAGGAAGGGCTTGCGGCTCCACGACAATCCGTCGCTCAAGGAATCTCTGCTGGGAGCGGATACCGTCCGCTGCGTCTACATCCTCGACCCCTGGTTTGCGGGGTCTTCCAACGTTGGGATCAACAGGTGGAGGTGAGGGTCCAACCACGTGCACACAGAGTGATTTACAGCAGCAACATGTTACACATTACACACAGCTCCTCACTATGATAGCCTACACCTGAGTGCCTTGATTTTCTGACACATCTGTCTATAAGGAGGTGACATTTGTTTATATTTTCAAGTTGAATGCAAAGGGCAGTTGAGCATTTGACAAACAAAACTGCATTGTTTTGCTGATATGTGCAACAAATATGACCCTAGATCAGGGATGGGCAACTTTGGTGACAGCAAGGGCCACATTAATTGAATTCTCACTGCCAGAGGGGCCAAATTATAGGATACAAAAACAATTACAATCAATTATGTCTCAATTAACTCAATTATTATCCATTATTATGGACATATTTCTGTTTTTCATGATTTCATGGCAGATTTTGTCATGTTTTTCTTCATGTTTCCAATTAATTGATATGTAAAAATTGACCTGAGGGCCACGTTGAGGGTTGACGGGGGCCGCCAGTTGCCCACCCCTGCCCTAGATCAATAATTTTTTTTGAGGGGGGGAAATCCTAACATGCTTCTCCTTACTTCAAATGTGTGACTTTATATTTTCCTTTCCTTTTATGATTGAAAATTGGGTTTAGATAAAGAAAACTATTTTGCCATCTGGGGGAAATTGAGAAATTCTGATTGGTACCAAAACACTGATTGTTTCAGAACATTTGAGAAATAGAAAAGTTAAATATTATCTGATATACCAGGTATCATTTAAATACGGATCTTGATTTTAAACTCAAAAATGAAAAATCACTGGTGTCAACATCGGTAAGATCACTAATCATAGTGGTTCCTCCATTACATCATGAGATATAGTTGTGAATAAAGCTGTAATCTTGACTCAGTCATCATCATTAAACCAAGTATACCTTCAGATACATAATTAAATGGAAACACATAATTCATGATATAATTTTTTCTTCCTTTAAAATGTTGAGTTAGATGTGAAACCAGTAAACAGTACTTTGGACTCTGCTAGACGGTGGTTATTGTATAAGAATGATTTGCAGCCTGCATGCTTCATTGCATAGAATGGTTTCTGTTTTAAAAGGGTTATATCACTGCACATGTTTCTTACAACCCAGGATCTCCAGCTCAGTGCAGTGCAGACCTCACTCTGCTCTGTTTTTCTTGATTGTTGCAGCATTCACATGATGAATTAGTTCTTCCATCTTGGGAAAAGAGACTTGGCAGAGGCATAGGAGAAGTCTTCAACATCCTAAGTGACTTATAAGTTGCATATTATTTTAGAATTGAGATAAAAAATGGGTACTTTTCTAATTTCCTGGCTTCCATATTTGCCAGCGCTAAATAAAAAAGGGAATAGTTTAGATTTTGGAAATGAAAAATCACTGCAATTTACCCGTTGATTATGTCTGTTTCTCTTAAGTACATTTCCTAACTTGCATATCCAAGTTTCACTGGAGGAGCTGAGGCGATGCATCATTTAATATTTTACATAACTGACATTCTCTGAAGTCCAGACAGCCAGTAAGCCGTGCACAATGTGCTTTTATAAATGCAAGATATGGACAGGCTAATGGAGTCTGGTGATTCAAAGCAGTATGAGCGTTACCGGCTCATGTGACAGAGATAAAATCCAAGGGCAGCTATGGGTAGTTTTCAATCCTTCTATTGTCCACTCTGATAACTATCAAGCAAACGGCCTGAGCTAACCTTAAGTCTAACTTGTAAAGTTTAACCTCAAAACAAACAGTAGCCAGCGTGATCTGTGACCCAGAACTTTATATGTTACATCTGAGCTAGCTGCTTCTGTCTGGAAAACAACAGTGTCCTGGCTGGCTGACTTAACAGTATGCTCATGCAGCTGCTGAATGAAAGCGCTCCCAAAGTTTACTGTACAGTAGGAGTCTCCCTGGATGTTTTTGTTTCCTTTCCCGCTGTGCGCTCTGGTTTGGTCCCATGCCGTCACTGGCAGAGTAGGGCAGCAGCAGCAGCAGCAGCAGCTTGCAGGCGCGCCTGTTTATGGGGCATCCATGTTATGCTTTCACAGTTATGTAACAGCAGTCTGGAGTGACGCAGAGCTCACACACAGAACGCACAGTACGCTTTGATTCATTCTCTTCATTTCAGTTTTTTTTAACACGCATCAGACATGTGCATGAAGAAAAAAATCTCTTCATCTCTAAAATCATGGTATGCACATAATCTCTCCTAACAGTCAAGAGAGCACACTTTTTCCTCCATGTACAATGAAACAATTAAAAGTAACAAATCTGATTTGATAAAGTCTACAAAAAAATGAGAAGTCTACAATTTCATGAGGAAGTTCCTACATTTGTATGCACTCACATTTTACATGGCTGGGCTATAAAACTATCTCAAAAGGTGATTAGGATCTCCGTCAACAACTGTGGACATATTCCCTCAATACTGATGGATCAACTAACCCATCACACAGCAGAAATAGTGTCAACATCCAGCCAATCTAATGTAGTTTATTTGCAAGTGAAGTATACTGTACACCAGAATACACAGCCACTACCCACTGCACTGTTGAACAAACTTAAAAGATTGAAAAGAGAACTCCTGTTATTCTCTGATGATGAGGAAATAGTTGACAAAAATGTTTAAATATTGTATATGTATACTCCAGTGGCAGCCCCCTCCCCGGGTATCCTGTGTACGCTGAAGGGCATTGTGGATTAACTAATGTTGAATAATTATGCTTTAGAGTTTTTAATGGTCTTAATGTTTTGTGATTTTAAAAGAGCATGAACTTAAAGATGTGTTATATAAAATAAGATATATTCTAGCCAAGCCATTATGGAACCAACACATTTGCTGAAGAATAGAGCAAAGACTGTAATCATGTCATTGCAGACAAACTGTCAGTGCTCAGCTCTTAGCCCTCAGATAAAACGTATCACAAGAGACAATAAAAACGGATGTCACAAAATGATTCTAATGCTAAGGGGGATTGTGCAGGAAGCTATGAAAAGTGCGACACAGCCTGCAGCTGCTGTGAGTTGTGCTTGTTGTCCCCGCACTAGCAGCCCACTCAGGTTATCATTATAATTGCTGGTGAAGAAGTGAGCATTAGCAGCCTTGTCTTTAAGATCAAGGGGGGTAACCCTCAGTTTATGAGGCGGGTCAATGCCAGATTACATAATTACAATAACCTTCCCATCCCCCCCCCCTCCCCCCCACGAGGCCTAAGTAGGTCAGTGTGTTAGTAGTAGACGTTTCAACCGTTTTCCTTTTCATCCTAATTTTGCTTTTCCTCAGAAGACCCTGACTATCTATAGTGAGCAGACAGTGAAACCGTCTGCCTAATCCTCAGAAAGCTGCTTCCGTCTGATATCTTTGTTAACATTTAATGCTTGAAACTGTTAAGGATAGAAGACATCGTTATTCTGGGTGGCCCAAGAGCCTGAAAGAGGTTCATGAGGATGTAATTAATGTGCAGATGCTCCAAGAAAGAGTGTTTATAACGAGACAGAAAAAATCAAACAAAGAAATCCAGACATGGATGAATGTTTTTGTGCATTGCGGCACAGTTTTTTCTTTGTCTAATCCCCCCCTGAAAGACACAGAGACTAAGCTAACTGCTTTTCCTTTGGAGGCACACGGTCTGAGCCGGTTCTTCAAATTGAACTTGGAGGTCAGGACAGGAGCAAAGCAGGAATGACCTTGGACTCAATTCCTGGAGAATAAATCTTAGCTCAGAAGTCAGGAAGCTATTCAGTTTCCATCAGATAAGACTTTGGGTTTAACAACCTGCAGATGTTAAGTGTACACTGTGTAACTGTTCAGACTGTTCCTGGAAAGCTCACAGAATGTTCAGTTATGTCGAAAAACGCCCTGAGACCCTCCCCACAGAGTCTGGAGAATAAGAAACCAGCACTTGCGAACTGCGAACATGCACAGAAACAAGTCCTCTGTAGCAGGACTTTCAGTACTGTTCAGCAACTATAGTATCATAAAAAGTAGATCATATACTGCTGTATTTTTGAAAATGTCAAAGTTGTCTTGACAAGGGGCGCCGGTGGCCTAGTGGTTAGTTCATGCACCCCATGTACAAATGCTGCAGTCCAAGCGGGACTTCAGCGTTGGTTAAATGGTGGTAATAAATAGTGTGGTGGTGGGAGTTGTGTCACAGTAGTCTCACAGCAGCTCCCCCCCCCCCCCAGTTTCATATTCATGATTAGACGTCATGGATAATACAGGAAGCTTCCACCTACGAACTTTGGTACCTATAGCAACAACACGGGAAGCCCGCCATTACTGCCGCCTGGCCTGTATGCATGTGTGGACCTGTGGGTGTGTGCTCAAATGTTTACACTCTGTATTTGTTATTGTAGGAAAATGTAAAATCAGAAGCACACTGCAGAGTCGACAGTGTAATAACAATGAAGCACACTTTGTTCTTAATGAAAGAAAAATGGTTCTGCTGGTCATATATTCATCTGCAGGGGTCAGTATGTTCTGCTTATTTATATTCACTGACGTCACATTCAGACATGATTAAACTCATGTGGATGCGGATTGGTTGACTCATCCACTGTCTGCATGATTCAGCCTTAAGGATGAGTTCAAGGCCCGTCTTTTTTTAAGTTAATGATGCATCAGTTATGTCAGAGGGAGAAGAGTGACTGAGATGTACTGTATACTTTTCCAGCGCCAAAGTACAAAAACATGTCTTTTCATTCAGGCTAGGTTAGATTGGGTTATTTCAAGAGGAACTATGCTCAAAGGATTACAAAGAGGAAAATTGGCACCATTGAGGATAATGGTTTCATTGCACTGTGAAGCACCGCTGGATTCAGATTATTTGTCATCAGGGCTAACGTTGTAAGAAACTCAGGTCAAGAAGTCGTATGCAGACTTTATATAACAGGATGTTTGGAACTACAAACAAAAAGACTACAAATATGACTGTACAAAACTCTGAATTCATGAGGCATGTCGTCTTCAAAACAAGCTTAGTGAAAGTTGCAAATTGTCAAAACATGGATGCACACAACACTCCTGTAATGTCAACTCTTTCTCCTTATAGTCTCATTTGTCGAATCGATGAACGAAAGAAAACCAAAGCCATGTGCTACACCACATTTAAAAAAATATATAAAAAGTACTGTTTGATGTTGTGAAATGTCTATTTTAGTCGTCCAAAAGTGGCAGTGAGTTATCAAGTAAGAGCTACATGAGCTACTGGAGAATTAAATCTTTCATATTCAGGTTTTAAAAAGTAGGCCAGGGACGGCTATTGTTCTGTAACTGGAGCAAACCTTTTCCTCTTTCCTCTCCAGTGAACTACATGAATATTTGTTTAATGAGGTCACTTGCTCACATCTTCAAACTCTGGAAATATTTCCTCTCTGTCAGCAGACTGCAAAATGTTCAAATTCAAATGAGTTTCTTGTTTAGACCGGTAAAATGTAATCATTATTCTTCCCACACATTCAAACCGAAGGCAAGCAGAACTCCTAATTCTTTGTTTAACCTCCAATTAACAACATGATGCCTCTTTTTCAGTTTCATCATCGTGCAAGTTTCTGAATATTTACTGGTATTTTTTCACTGCCAGTTTTTTAACCCTCTGTCTTCCTTTCATTCCTCTTCCAGGTTCTTACTGCAGAGTCTTGAGGACTTGGACTCCAGCCTCCGTAAGCACAACTCTCGACTGTTTGTGATCCGGGGCCAACCCACTGATGTCTTTCCCAGACTTTTCAAGGTGAGAGAGAAATGTTTTTTAACCCTGAAGTGTGCAAAGTATCTATATATGTTTATTTTGTTCCTGGACTTTCTTCTAATATTCTTTTTTTTTTTTTTGCAGGAATGGAACATCTCACGTTTGTCTTACGAGTACGACTCTGAGCCGTTTGGGAAGGAGCGAGATGCAGCTATTAAGAAACTGGCCACTGAGGCCGGAGTGGAGGTGACAGTTCGCATCTCCCACACACTCTATGACTTAGACAAGTGAGTAATCATCACCTCTTATCTCATCTTTTTTTCTGTCCCTGTGCATCTATCAGCTCTTTTGACTCTTTCTGTAATCCTGCAGGATCATAGAGTTAAACGGGGGACAGTCCCCTCTTACCTACAAGCGGTTCCAGACCCTCATCAGTCGTATGGAGCCGGTGGAGATGCCGGCAGAGTCCATCACGGCTGACATCATGGGGAAATGCACGACGCCGCTGTCCGACGACCACGATGACAAGTTCGGGGTCCCGTCCTTGGAGGAGCTGGGTGAGTGAGGCCGGACAGAATGTGTTCAGATAAAGCGTAAAAGAGATCATATTTAAAACTGATATTTAACATTATTGTGTGTTATCCTTGCAGGTTTTGATACTGAAGGTTTGTCCTCAGCTGTGTGGCCGGGAGGAGAGACAGAAGCCCTCACGAGACTCGAGAGGCATTTGGAGAGAAAGGTCAGTCAAGAACAGAATAAAGAAGAGACTTTGTTTTAAAAACCTCCATCTTCTGTTCCAATGAGACACCTTGTGACAAAGCTCAATGCATTATCATCATAACTGATATCCTTCCTATCTGTGTCACCATCAGGCGTGGGTTGCCAACTTTGAGCGTCCAAGAATGAACGCCAACTCCCTGCTGGCCAGCCCGACAGGCCTCAGCCCGTACCTGCGCTTCGGCTGCCTCTCCTGTCGCCTCTTCTACTTCAAACTCACCGACCTCTACAAGAAGGTAGGTCTTCAAACACCTCAATCCACCGACAGAAAAGTTTGGGTGCAATCTCAAAATCGTCTAAATTACTTGGCTGGCTGCTTGAAAAAATTGTATAATGCGTTTCTCAGAATCAAATTAACACAGTGTAATGTTTAGTTTTCTAGCAGAACTTGTAACCTGCTTTCAAGAGTCAAAAACTACACCAGATGACTTTACTGCAGATAATAATCTTTGTTACATGATGTTATGATGAAGAGCTGAACACTGCCATTTTACTCTGCTGAACTGATTCTACTGCACATGCAAGTGAAGTGTGTTAGCTATTTATACCGCCTCCTTCTGGTTACCAAGGTGTTATGCAATGAGGTAAATGTATCCACAGCAGTCTTGCTTTGTGGCATTGGCTCCCTCTAGTGTCTTGATGTTGTACATATTCAGACTCCTGTGCAGATGTTGAATTAAAGTTTAGTTCTATAGTAGAACAGATGTTTTCTTGTCTTGTTAGTTGATAACAATTCTTTTGAATGTCAGTAGGCCTCAGTACTTTGTTTGGATGGTGATACAAGTTTTCAGATATGGCTGAATTGAACAGTCAGTTTCTGATTACAACAGTTGGTGTACAAGTTTGGTGGTTATTTGGTGGGAGGGGCTTAGCAGGTTGAGGTATCCATGGAAAGGTGGATTCTTTTTTCACTTTGCGTACTGCCACTTTAAATGTTAATACAAGAAGCATTAAAGCCTCAAAAATAAAGTAAAACCTTCTGTTATGATATAAAATACGATGCGACTGAGATAACATGTTCGCTCCTCCGCACCCCTTCAGGTGAAGAAGAACAGCTCCCCTCCTCTCTCACTCTACGGTCAGCTACTGTGGCGCGAGTTCTTCTACACGGCGGCGACCAACAACCCCTGCTTCGACAAGATGGAGAGCAACCCCATCTGCGTGCAGATCCCCTGGGACCGCAACCCTGAGGCGCTGGCAAAGTGGGCCGAGGGCCGGACCGGCTTCCCCTGGATCGACGCCATCATGACCCAGCTGAGGCAGGAGGGCTGGATCCACCACCTGGCCCGACACGCTGTGGCCTGTTTCCTGACTAGAGGGGACTTGTGGATCGGCTGGGAGGAGGGCATGAAGGTGAACAGATATATATGCATAATTATCTAAACCATTTACCATAACTCTTTTAGTGGCAAAAGCTCAGCAAGAAGTTAAAGCTCAGAGAGCCCAAACGTTGCAGAGCTGAACAGTGTAAGTGTCCTGATCCTGAGCTAACACCTGTTCATGTGTGTGTGCAGGTGTTTGAGGAGCTGCTGCTGGACGCAGACTGGAGTGTGAACGCAGGCAGCTGGATGTGGCTCTCCTGCAGCTCTTTCTTTCAGCAGTTCTTCCACTGCTACTGCCCAGTGGGCTTCGGCCGGCGCACGGACCCCAACGGAGATTACATACGGTACTTCAACAATGACCTCATATCTCATATTTTGGCCTGAATTTCTCAGCAGTGCATGCAGCAATCATTAACTGCCAATGTCCTAAAAAATATGTGGAGATGTCATGTCCCTGCCCCTCTCAACACACTCATCACAACTCCTCATCTCTTCATCCAGGCGCTACCTGCCCATCCTGAGAGGCTTTCCTGCCAAGTATATTTATGATCCCTGGAACGCCCCCGAGAGTGTGCAGAAAGCAGCCAAGTGTGTAATCGGGGTGCATTACCCAAAGCCCATGGTGAACCACGCCGAGGCCAGCCGCCTCAACATCGAGAGAATGAAACAGATCTACCAGCAGCTCTCCTGTTACAGAGGCCTCGGTAAGAACACACCTAACAGACACTTTCCTCAGACATCTTCTACATCAATTAGAAGCAGGGCGAGCGATCAGATACCTGAAATGATAGTGACCTCATGTTCCTGAACGTGGAGTTATGTAATAAGAAGTTAAGTAAGGCTGACGATTCAGGTTTAACAAGCTTTAACTCCTCAGCATCCAGATTATAAGAACTACACATACTTATGTTGTCTTAAAATGTACCTGAAAGAGATGCAAAGCCAGCTGATTGGTTGAACCAGAGAAGAGAGTTTTTGTGCTGTACATGACTGTTATTATTATTTGAACTTGTTGTGTCTGTTTAAAGCTGCTTTACTTATTAAAAGCTGTTAACTGTTTTTGTCGTCCTCAGGCCTTTTGGCTTCAGTGCCGTCCAACTCCAACAACAACGGAAACACTGAGATGTCCTCAGAAGTGATGGCATACTCTGCGGAGTCCACACGCGATGCTGCAGCTACATCAGGTATGAGAGAGGGGGAAAAAAACCTGCAGTCGATCTGGACTCTTAAGGTCTTAAGAAAGGAGACTTATTTGTTGTTTTGTTTTCACAGGGTATCAGGTGCCGGTTCACTCTCAGGAAGACTGGCAGAGCGGGGTCATGATGTACCTGCAGGGGAATCAACAGACCGGCATGGCCACGCATCAGCAAGGTGAGGGAGCTCAGCGGCTTCACATGAACTCTGTCTGTTTAGTTTGTCTGTATACGATACACCTCTGCCCTTTGCTGCACGCCATCCCCACCTCTCTCCTCCCAACGCTTCCTGTCTCTCTTCAGCTGTCCAATAAGAACCAAAACAAAATAACTTAGAGAAAAAAACATGACTGAAGATCATTTCTTTTAAAGCTTTGGTACTTTTCAACATAATTCATGATCATTAAATGAATGGAGAGTGTATCATTTTAAAACATTTTGTATCTTAAATTATCAGAGTACAGAACAAAATGACCTTAGTCCACACTAACTCGTCCTCTAATCCTTCAATCTTGCTTGAATTCCAGGTTATGCAGGCCCCAGTGCCGGTGTGATGTCTACTCAAGGCACACAACAGATCCCTGGTGCTTATTTCCTAAAAGGTAACAACTCATTCTCTTTTCTTGTTGTTTTAGCTGCCTTTTATCCTAATCTGCATTTGGAGGACAGTTTTCTAAACGGTTTGCTTTTTGTTTTTTTAGGACCCGAGCACCTCAGCATCACTCAGACCAGCGGTAAACGACACAACGAGGACTCCGGGAACAGCAGAGGCTCCAAAGTCCAGAGACAGAGCAGCCACTAGAAAGGTTGGTTAGAATTTAAATTTAACATATTTCTACTGAAAGTTCAGGCAAACAGAAGTCAAGTTTTTGAATCCAACATATTGGATTATCAGTAAACGTGTTTTCTTTCTTTCTCACAGGAGAGTCTGCAGACTTGCTGTTCATCACATTATGTACACAGCGCCCCCCCCCCTCTAAAAAAAGGACCCTAAAGACTTTTTGTGACGGCACTACACTGTTGCATGAGCAAACCTTCAGGAGGAGAAAAACAAACATCCTGAAAGCCTCTCACACAAACTATCTGGACTGTATATTCTCATGTGGACTGCATGGCCCGGCTGCAGTGGCTGTTACACTGCGCTCCCGGTCCCGCCGGGACGGACAGTCTTTCTGTATATAATGAATTTGTTAATCTCAGCTCACATACAAACTTGTACATATTTGAATATTGTATGTGTTTGCTCTCTTTGTGTAGCCATAGACCCATTGATATATTTTTTATATGACAAATAATTGTGGATGGATCTTTCCTTTTTGGAGAATTTTCAATAAAAAAATATGAAAGCATTTATAAACTGTCCATTCAAACAAAAACAAAAAAAAGTCTTGGATCTATTCAAATACATCCGCCTGTCTTCTTGTTTATTCTACCCGTCACTGATCTCCTTTTTGAGCCATCTCATGTACGCTCTCTCTGAACAGACGTGTTTGATCATTTCCTCCTCAGACCTCACCACGTGTTTTGTTCCGTCTCTCTGTAGAGGCAATATCAGTAAGACATTATCTATCCAGTTGTTGCCCGTCTCAATTATTATTGAGAAAAGGCGACTTCATATCATAGTACCCCCCCCCCCCACCGTATAATCCCAAAATAAATGTACCACTGGAGAAAACGGCTTCACCTGTTTCTTCTTTATGTGCTTGTTTGATTAAAATGTATTTAAATATACAAACTGTTTACTGTCTTTTCTTCGTTATATTTGCAGGTTGGACTAACATAGTACAGTCTATAAATGTCATTTTTAAATATATTAATGTAGATGTGTTTTATATCTGTACATACACAGGTTCATGTTTACCTTCTGAAGTTTGTAGTTGTTCTTTCAGCTCTGTGTATGTCTATTAGTGCAGATGTTGCTGCTCCACACAGGTCTTGGGATGCGAGGGTGGAGTGTTTCTGAACCTGCAGTAATCTGTATATAAACACAAAGAGACAAAGAAGTTAATAAGCTTGTGTTCAGCAGGCTGCAGGATTTATTCTGCTCATTACAAAAATAAATACTTTGAAATACTCAAGTTGCATTCAGTAACTTTAAGTTTTTTCACATAATGTAAAAATATCTTAACATATGTAATATGTTCCAACTGAAGTAGCCAGAAATGTCCTTATCATTTTCATATTACACATACTGACTGTAGGCTAACGAGTTTAACGTTTTTATTAAATTAAACAATATAAAACCTTGACACAAGCAGATGTGGTATTTGTTTCTGTCCATAAGAAACATACACGAAGAAAATAGAATGTAAAATATCTAATTAAACTCTTTGTGAGCTTTTTGAATCACAAAACAAAACAAACCCCTTCAATGTGTCCTGTGGTTCCGGAAGTAAAAATCCCATTCATTTTCTCCATAGTGGATTTGATCATTACCCATAATGTCATTACCACGAGCTATGTTCAGTGTAACATCCCTATTTCCACTCAGAACTGGAAAGCTACTCCACTTTAAACATTTATTATTTACTGACAATGATTCACAACACTCTTTACCAGCATACTGGTGTCCATGCATGGAGTTTAAAGGACAATTAACCCACCTGTTTACCTGTACATCAACACAAACAGGCGAAGAAGTCAAGCGTTTAGCTCGGCTGCAGCGCCCTCTAGTGACCTGTTTGAGTATCGCACTAATAGAAAAAATTTGCTGAAATTTGGCTTTAAATTGCACAAAGACCCTGAAGTCACGAATAGAAAAAAAAATGCATACATAAGTTGTGAGCAAAATGTATTTAGTTCTTCCTTCAGCTGCCCCGTAAAATCACTTTTTAAGAAAAATATAAAAAAACATATTTGGGTCTCTTTTTAACAAAAAAGAATATATATATATATATATATACATACATATATATATATATATATATTCTACAATTCTACAATTCACTTATCAGACTCTTTTCTCCAAAGCGACGTACATCAGAGAGTAAGAACAGCACAAGTAAGGATCTAGAAAAAAGGGAACAATGTCAGTAAGAGCAAACGATCAGCTTTGAGTCTGATTGGACACACAGGTGCTGACAGGAAGTGACCAGAGGCAAAGCACAACATTGAGGGCAGTTCTTGAGAGCTCTAATCAGTATAGAAACCATCTTATAAGTCGTCGTTATCAAACAAAAACCATCGTCATTACCATCATCATCATCATCATCATCAATAATATGGAGACCATCATCATTAAGTTAGTAGGTATTCATGAAAGAGCTGGGTCTTTAGCTTTTTCTTAAAGGTGCAGAGGGACTCTGCAGATCACATGGAGTTTGGAAGTTCATTCCACCACCGGGGGGCGACAGAGGAGAAGAGTCTAGTCAGCGTCTTAGGACCCTGTTGTGAAGGTTGGATCAGACGCCTTTCATTGGCAGAGTGTAGTGGGGGGAGGGAGTGTAGACCTGGATGAGAGAGTTAAAGTAAGGAGGAGACGTTTTTATCGCTTTTTTGTAAGCGAGCAGCAGAGTTTTAAATTTGATGCGAGCAGTAACTAGGATATAATATAATACATATATATCTCAGATTTAAGATCCTGGAATCAGACAACTTTGAATTTTTTTATTCCAACAAAATAACTGAAACAGACGACACTATGATCAAAGTTGATTTATTTCAAAGTGGAAGACATTCATTATTGCATCTCTCACATTCACGCACATCATGCCACTCCAGATATTTCTGAATTTTTATTCTTATAATATAAAATACAGTACTCTGTTTTTCATAACAGTGGGAGAGCCGTCAGCTGCGCCCTAATGAGGTCAAAAGGCCAAAAGATTCCTGTAATATTCAAACTGCCTTCCTTGTTTGTTCTTTTTTGCATTAAGGTGAAGCTGTAAAAAAAAAATCTCCACAAACTAAATGCATATAAGAGCAGCACATAAACAAACTGCAACAGCTACTCCCCTGCAGATCTGGGGGGAGCGACAGGGTTGAATAGCGGCCGCTGCTGCCTGAGCTGCAGCTTCCCATAAGTCATCTCAAAGTCCTTCTTGGTTCCCTCGATAACGTCCAGGCTACCAGAGCAAACATCATATCCATAAGAGGCCAGCTTGTGGATACGATAAGAACGATTTGTGTGGTGAGCTCCAGCACATTTGGAGTTTCTTTCACCTGCTCCATGGTTATTCCAGCATCCATCAACCCCTGGAACCTCTCGGCCAGAGTGGGCAAGGAGTAGTACAAAACAGCCGGGCAGCGGATCACAATCTGCTTGAGTTCTTCTTTAGAGCAGCAGAGAGCGCTTTCGACGTATTGGAGCGCTTGCTGCATGCTCTCCGGCTGCAGCTCGGATGGACGCTCTCAGACTTGAGACCAGTTTGAGGAGCTCCTCCGTGGTGAAACCCTGCTCCCTCAGGAAGCCCAGACTGTCCCTCCAAGCTTCAGCCGGGCGCAGCAGGATGTACGGATTCTGACTGAGGAGCTTCTGCAGCCAGAGCCGCAAGTTCCCTTCATCCCCGCCCAAGTCCAGGTAGGTCTCCCTCAGAGTGTGGATCACCTGCTGGTTCATCTCCACGGGTCGGCTGAAGCTCTGCGGGGCGCTCGCCATCAGCTTCCCGATGATCCTCTTGCTGAGGCGCAGCGACTGGAGGTAGAGGATGTTCGCCCGCTGGTTGCTATGGTGAGTCAGCGCGAAGAAAGACGCCGGGAACTTCTCGATGATGCTCACCAGCTCGCGCTTGTTCGGGCACACGGACACCCAAAGGTCTCGCTGAGCGGCGACGTCCTCTGGAAGACACAGGACAGCTTCAGGGTGAGTCTCGAGGATGCGGGCGATTACTGGGGACTCTGCGCCCATGTCCCTCAGCAGGTCGGCGGTTTCAGACACATACGCAGAACTCTCCGAGAGAACCCAGCCCTTGAACTTGCGCACCTTACGTATGTCCACAGAGAGCTCGTATAGGGAGTCCACTGTGTTCTTGTTCTCCGGGCGTTTGTTGGGAGACGGGCCGGTGGAGGCAGACACAGAGGGAGGCAGGAGGAGCCTCATCCTCTGACAGTAGGTGCACAGAGAGGCGGTGGTGACGCGAAGCATTGTTGAAGACTGTCGTCGATCTGGGCCAGGAGAAAAGAAAATCTGTGAGCACAATAAACTAAATTATTATCATTACTATTCACATTAAACGATTTGCACTCCTTCCCAAAGTGTCAGAAGTACAAGAAGACAATGAAATTCAGCAAGTATTTGCAATTGATTTTCACCTTTAAGGATTTTTAGCTTCCCAAAATCATGAAAACAAGATAATTGAGATGAAGCGATTACTGTGCTGCACGCCGCATTGCGCTCGTTTTCTCCACAGGTTTTTGTCATGTGTTGAAATGTTTTCAAAGTGTTTGTTGTTATAATCTGACCACAAGAGTACATCACCACTACCTCGAAAACTTGGGAAGTTTACTTTTAAAAACATTTGTCTTCGGGCTGGGCGATATGGATCAAAACTCATATCTTGATCTTGTTTTATAGCTGAATGGCGATACTCGATATATATCGATATGTGTTTTATTAACAGTGAAAACACATGGAAAAATAAAAAACCTGTTTGTGAATTTAAAAAGTAATATTATAAAATAAAAATACAGTAAAAGAGAGAGAGAGGAGGAGCAGGGTTAAGAGGGACAGACAGTCAGTCATCATCAGTGAGATGAGGAAAAGGTGACCTGGCACCTCTGTAATGTTATTTTAATGCAACATAAACTATATCCATATTAACAATATTGTCTTACTCTATATCTTGTTTGAAAATATATCAATATATCTTAAAAACTTGATATATTGCCCAGCCCTAATTTGTATATATTATTATTTTCCCCTATTTATTGTCATTTATTACTTGTATTGATCAGAAAGATAAAAGCTTAAAGAGTTTTTCAGTTCGTTCAATTCCTGTGATCCAGATGTTGTAAAAATCAACAAGTGATCGTGTTTGATAAGAATAATCTCAG